ATATAATCCTCGCCCAAGGGTATGTTTTTATTGATTATAGAGAGGAAGGTGGAGAGAGAGAAACAGCAATTGGTTGTCTCAGTTATGACGCACCCCAATGTGGGAGTCGAACCCACAACCTTTTGGTGTAGGACGACACTCCAACCAACTGAGCCACCCGGCCAGTGCCAGATCTTCACATTAAATGTTCTATTCTCACTGCAGTAAATCCTATTTCTCCAAGATTGACATCATCCAGATTCAACAAACATTATGTCTCCTATAAAGTAGGCCAAGTCCTATATTAGTACCAAGAATACAAAATAAAACATGTAGTCCTTGCCTTCAAATAACTCATGATCTAATGAGAAAGACAAATGCATGATTACAATATAATAATCTTAAAAGCTAAAAGAAAGTTTCATTATTTAAAACCAGGTCTCACAAACTCCAACCCACAAGCCAAATCTGGCCTGTCTCCTATTTTTGCACAGCTAATAAACAAAGAATGTTTGTTTTTTGTAGTTGTAAATGATTGGGAAAAACCCAAAATAACAAAATAATATTTTGTTCAAATATCTATGTTCATAATTAAAGTTTTATTGGATCACAGCATGCGAATTCAATTATGTATTGTCTATAACCACTTTGGTTCTATAGTTGCAGAGCTGAATAGTTGTGAAAGAGAGCATATGGTTTGCAAAGCCTAAAATATTTACAGAAAATGTTTGTTGACCCCTGACTTAAAGGATTCATTTCAAAAGATATTCAGTGTAGTACATTTAAGGCATAATGGGCCCTTGCGAACATGATTGAAGTCGAATGTTCCTCTACCACTTTAAAATATCCCCTATGAGAATAAAACAGGAGTTGTGCTGTGAATACATACCTAGTGTCCCTAGTGCAGTGGGCAGCTGTGAGGACCCAACTATCTTTCACTAAGCTTCCCCCACATACATGAGCAAGAACTTTTCCAGATTGAATCTGCAGGCTAACTATCCAGGGCCATGCGCCACTTTGAGCATTTGTGCCCCCTACAATCCGAGACCCTCTCAACATATCCACAAGCGGTCCTGTTCCACAATCTAAAAATAAAAATGATATATTACTTAGACTGAACACCCAATAATATGTATTACTTCCTAATCTTCACACATTAATATAATCTTTTAAATTCCTATTTTAACAACTGATAAAGCAAGCTGGGTACCTAAGGCAAGCCCATATTTTGAAGGAGAAAAAAAAAAGGAGAGTTAAGGTAAACATGCCTCGATTGATTACTTATAAATAGAAAGACATTACATCAGCACAATTCATTAATTTTAAAATTCTGTTGCCCAGAAGATAAAAACGAGATGTTTCTCTGGCCAGGTAGCACGCTCTTCCCTGTGTAAACAGGTGATCAAAGGGCCTGGAACTGGTGAATCGAGAGCTTACAAGTTCTATACTTGACATTTAACGTGCTAGGGTAATTTTTCCCAACTGTGGTATGAAAAGGCCACCTAGTAATCCTAAGTGAACTCTGAGTCCCAATGAATTATTAATCTGGGAAGCGGGCAAGCCGAGCCCCACCCTGCTTCGCGGCGCACCCAGAGCCGCCCGACGCAAACGGGCGCCATGTTCGCCGCCGCCGCCACGGGCGTCGCTGCCGTGGTCCTGCTGAGGTCTGTACATTGTTTAGTTAAAGGCACGTGGAACACGGGAAAGGAGGGACCGAAAGCAAACGCTGTCGAAGTGGGGAAAAGGCAAGGGAGGCTGCGGCCCGCGGAAAGGAATGAACAGATACTGCCCTTTGCGTGCGTCCCTCTCTTCTCCGGAGCGTCGGGCCCCCGCTGCCGCCTGAGCTGCCCGCGCAGGGCCTCGGGCCCCCCGGGACCAGCCTCCTGCTCCCAAGAAGGGCGGTGCCTGCCCTCCTCCGAGAGCGAGAAGCGTCCCGGGAACAAGAGGGAGCTCCCCGCAAGCAGCAGCGCGGCGCTCAGGAGCCCGGGCCCCATCGTGGGACGCCGGCTGGGCAAGATGGCGCAGGCCGCTCCGCCGGCCGGGCCACGCGGTGACAGGTGGGGGAGGCGCCTACGGTGGGCACGAGGGACCAAGCGCGCGAAGTGATTGGCTTGCGTGAGGGGCGAGAGGTGGGAGGCTGGCCTCCCAGAGGTACTGTGGTTGGTGTGCCCTTACTGGGCAGATGCGTGGGGAGTGCCCTGCCCTCGGCCGGGCTCTGGGAGGTCCGTCGTGGGTGAGAATTTCCTAGGCCAGGTCCGCACGCTCACATAGGGATCGCGGGGCCGTTGTGGTGGGAGAGGAGGCGCTGGAACCACGGGCACTGCTGGCTCAGACCTGCAAGGCCAGGAAGGCTTCCAGAAGGGCTTCTAAACGAAGGCAAGTAAGCTGGGGAAGGGAGAGGTAGAGCAGAAGGCAAAAAAGTGTAGAGGTTGGGATTCAAGACAGCACAGCCATTGAGGAAACCCAATTTCTGTGATACAGATCGATCTCGTTATTGTTTTGTAGTAGTTTGCCTTTAGCTTATCTCGGGGTAGGCTGCTAACATCAAATGTAAGGACCTGCAAAGTTGAGGACAAAGCCTGACTGAAGGTAATGGCACCCCCTTCCACTTCAGTCCCTAGCCTGAGAGGTGCATGATTCCTTGCCCTATCAGAATCCCTGAGATGCCCCCCTGACATTCCAAAGAATGTGGAGAGAGGGTGCAGATAAATGGCTCCAGTTAATGGACCCGTTGAACAAGCAAGTATTAACCTCACACTATGTGCGGTACAGGGAAATAAGTATCACATCATGGGAGGTGAGTTAAGACCTGTCCGTCTGACCCAGAGAACTTTATAACTTGGCTAGCAGACAAAATCAGGTCTAATTCATTCGGGGAAAAAAGAAAAATAATTCCTGACACCGAAGCCTAACGCCAATTCAAACACCAGGGATTGGAGTGGGCTGTGGCAATCTGGGAAGGCTCCCTGCAGGAGGGGCATGTTAGCTGGGCCTAGATTGAGGGGGAAGGTCAAGAAGAGGAGGAGATTTAGTGAAGATAGGCTAGGCTAAGGTACAGCATAAGCAAAGGCATGGGCTTGTAAAAATTAATAAAGGAGACCTCAACCAAAATTAGAATCTGGAGGGCCTGTAGGGGGAACTCGCACCCCGTACCACTCATCATTGGTTGCCCCAAACAGGAAGAGATATTCCTTGCGTTTCCAATAGGAAGATGTTTTCTACTCTACTACCCCAGAAGGGGAAGATTTTCTCCTTCCCCAGCAACAGCCTAGCCAATGAGAGATTATCATAACCCAGACAATGAAAAGCCACTAGACTTTGAACTCCCAGTTTTCTCCAGTGGACTCTTTGTTTATAACACCTTCTCCCAACTTCCCCTTTCCTCCATAAAAGAAAGTTCCTCTCCTTGGTTCTCCATACTTGACTATGGTTTTGTCATAGCTCAGGTCTTGAATTGCAATTCTTTGCTATTCTTTAATAAATCCATTTTTTTCTGGTAAAATAACTTATTTTTTAAGGTCAATAATGTGTATCCATGCATGTTTCTCAGAAGAAATAGAACCAACAGGATATGTAGAGATATATAAGAGGAGATTCATTATGGGAATTGGCTCACACAATTATAGAGGCTGGGAAGCGTGCTATCTGCAAGATGGAGAACTAGAAAACCCGTGGTGTAATTCAGTCCAATCCGAAGGCCCGAGAACCAGGAGCTCTGATGTCAGAGCACAGGACAGAGAGATGTCTCAACTTAAGAAGAAAGGGAGGATCTGCCCCTTATAGCCATTCTTTTATTTGGACACTCAGTTGGTTGGATTGGATGACACCCAGCGGCATTGGTGAGGGCATAGCTTCTTCACCCTTTGGATCAGTCTCACTGTGGCTTCTTTATATTTTTAGTTATAGGAATTCTGTTCAGCTAGTCTTCAGGTGGTTCTCAATGATAATTGTTCTAAAATTTAGTTGTAAATTTGATGTGGTTGTAGGAGGAGGTGATCATAACCTCTGCCTACTCCATCATCTTGACCAGAAGGGGTTTTACGTATTGTTATTTTCACTGTTCTGTTATCTTACGGAGACTGATAAGATATATAAGAGAAAAATTTTTGACCAGGATATATAAGAGAAAAAACTAAGTTGAAGGCTTATTCTTGGTTTTATATTTGATTTTATCATCTTTTGAGTCCAGAATCAACATGTATGTGCCTTCTCCCCTTTAGCAGAGCCATTTAATATGGTTTTTTGGATCTGCAGTAGTGGGGCCTGTAACCTGCTTCATACTTAGGGTAAGGCTGCTGATTGCTCAGAAGAGTGAAGAGAATGTTTACAGTGTGTGAAGGAAGCTGGACAAGAGGGAGGAAAGAAGCAGGCAGCCCACGGTCCAACAACATGGCAGCTGGTGGATCTGAACCAAAAATATGTCTGTGACAGTTTCATCATGGTGAGATAAATTTTTTTATGGTTGCTATCTTGATCTGTGCCTAAGATTGCCTCAGTTAACCCCACACCTTCATTAACAAGGGAGCAGTGTGGGCTGTGGTAGTCTGGGAGGTTGGTCACATAGTGGGGAATTAAAGTAGGGGTCAGTGAAAGGACAGCCACCTTGTTGTATCAACCCTCTGAGGTTGTCATGGTTGGCAGCATTAAATCAAAGGAGGCTATTAGTTGGGGCTTACAGGTGAAAAGGGCTGAGGGCTGAACCAAAATCAATGGGTGGTAGGCAGGTGATATTGGAGCAACAAGTTACAGCATGAACTGACTCGGGGCAAACAAAAACAAATTTCCTGTTCCCCAAATATTTTAGTGGGAGGTGATACTTGAAAGGAAAACACAGTTGGGGTGTTTCTGTGGGGGGGGGGTGTGTGGCGGATATCAGATTTGGTATGGCTTTATAAGCAGGGCAGATAATGAATCTTGCTGTGACGTGACAGATAACAAAGATCCAACCAATTTCATATCTTGATTTAAAAAAAACCCAAAAAACAGGTGCGTGCAGCCAGGCCATGAGAGGACTATGAAAAATGCAGTGGACCGGTAACTGCAAAGCCCTGTGCCTAGATTTCCTCTGCCTTTTCTAGGTCTTCTCTCTTCTCTCTTGCATTGTCACGTCCTTTCTTTGTGGATCACTGCCATACACAGACAGGTATACTCTGGGGTAGCAGGGAGCCTCCAGATGGCCTCCAATCAGCCCCTTCTCCTGCATTCACACCCTTGTTTAATCTCCTCTCCTTTACTGTTAGCTGGATTTAGTGCCACGCTTCTAGCAAATAGAAGGAATGACAGATGATGGCCTACTACTTCCAATATTAGGTTATCAAAAGATTGTGACTTCTGTCTTGAACATCCCCTCTAGCTCTCCTGCTCTGGGGGAAGCTGGCTGCCATGTTGTGAGCGACCCTATGGCTCAATGGAGTGGCCTCCAGAAGTAGCCAGAGAGGAACTGAAGCCCTCAGTCTAACAGCCCACAAAGAACCAAATCATACAACACCACATGAGAGAGCTGGGAAGTGCCTCTTACCCTGGTCAAACCTTCAGATGAGACCACAGTTCTGGCTAACATCATAACAGCAACCTCATAAGAGAACCTTAAGCCAGGCCCCCACTAAGCCACACTCAAGATTCCTGGCCCACAGAAACTGAAATAACAAATTTTTGTTGTTTTAAGTCTCTAAGTTTTGGGATTAATTTGTTACGCAGCAACAGATAATACATCTTGTTTCTCCTACCACTGAGGTGTTACCGGACAGGGACCAACCCAGAGCAGGTCTGTCTCAGGCCGGACTGTGGTGTGTGGGTTCTTTTTGCAGGAAAGATTTCACACGTCAAGCCTAGGTGGGTTTGAGAGTACGTTTATCAAAGCTGGGAAAAGTGAAACAAAGGAAGGACTTAGGGTAGAAGAAGCAAACAGGGGAGAGCCTAGGCTGTGCTCTGCTTTGGCTCTCTAAAAACATCATAGGAAAGAAGTGAGCCATGGCGGGGCTGCTGTTAGCTCACTGCAAAGTCAGAGAAAATGGGGCCTTGGAGACAGGATCAGGGGGTGAGCCTGGGTCGAGCTACTGCTGCCCACTGCTCCCCTGCTTGCAAGTCTGTTGGAGACACTTAGAGTCTAGGAAGAAAAAAGTTCATGCCTGGGAAGGGGCTTGGGTGTGCTCTAGAGGGAGCCCGCATTGAGTTTTTGTCTTGAGGGCTTTTTAATCCCTTTTTTCCCCCCTGCAGGCGAGAATTTTAGGGGAGGGTTTCAGTAGAATATTCGTCAGCTTTCCAGGTGCATTTTTAATATGCTGATGTATCAAAATGAGTGTATAGGGGAGTTTTGGATTAGTCTTTGGTCTGTTTCACTGTTTTACTTTTATCTTGGTCTGTCTGGCGTTAATGGGTTTTTGTTATTTGTTCCCTGACTTCATTTGTCCTTGGGTTTAGCTGGCACAAATGGCATTAATTGGGTCTTTGTTCTCTAGTTTCCTGGGCCAGGGTGTGTATTTTCTGGTTAGGGAGGAGGGTATAAACCATTTGCTCTCAAGTGTCCTTGGTTGGGGAAGATAAAGTCTTAGGATTCATGAGCTGGCTGCAAGCTGCCCAAACTGTTTGGCCTTGTTTAATTTTCTTGTCTCAGTTTCCCCATTCCATTTGCCCAGGGATTTTCCTAGTTTCTTACTATCCTGCGACAGGAGGGTGGGGCCTATGGTTGGCTAGATGCTTGTGGGGTGGGGGGCAGGATTGACTGGGTCTGGAGTTGGGGGAGGTTTTATTCTTTCTGGGTGTCCCGTGCTCCACTTGGGGTACATCTGAGTTAGTGCTAGAAATCTTTTTTTTAATCCTCACCAGAGCATATATATACATATTTTTAATTATTGATTTAAGAGAGAGAGAGAAAGAGAAACATGGATATAAGGAAAACATCAATTGGTTGCCTCCCATAAGCTCCCCAACCAGGGACTAAACCTACAACCTAGGTATGTACCCTGACTGGAAATCAAACCCACAACCTTTTGGT